TTATTATTAGGAGCCTTGATTAATAATAGAATGTAGATCCCTAGGCTAGCTTGAGATAAGGGATGATGTAATTTCAGTTGACGATGACTAGTGAGTTACATAATCCTGGCTGTGGACTCAAGTTTGTACTCAAGAGCAAGTGAGAGAGCGTTGAGTTTATGTTTTTTTTTACTTAAAGCCCAATTAAGTTTAGTGTACGAGAAAAGCCCAAAAAGCATAGAGCCCAAGAAGCTAAAGGCTAGGGTTTCTCGGTACACACACACACATATATATATATACACTCATCTTTAGTCATCAGCCTCTTAGTGTTGTTGCTTAGATAAGATCAGATCTAAAATTGAGAGTGCTCACACACTTCCGTTTTCTCCCTTGAGGATAGTTTGGAATATTTGGCGGAAGCCATTTTCAGCAAAGGAGGCTTGTTCATGCCGTGATGCAGAGGAGGACAGATCATGCAGGAGGAGATACTATGGTTGTAGAGGCGAGAATGACCACCACATCGATACAAAAAGGGATTCTCGTGAATCTGTGCTTCAAGAGGTATAACCTTTGTGGTTGCGAGACAATGATGAGTCCTGAGCATACAAAAGTACTAGGTCTTAAATCGTTTCTGCTTATCCAATTTTTCCATCAACATCGTCAATAGAGTTTAATTTCTTTCAAAAAATAAAAATTTCCCCCTTCTCCTTATTAAATTTTTTTTGGTATAGAGCTAGCAAGTATAGATGCATAATTATGAATATTTTAAGTTTATAAAGAATTTTGGAATATTAATTAATTTTTATTTTTTTACAAAAGCCTAAAACTATAAGGAATATATACATAGTTAATTAATGTATAATTTGAAAGTATAGATTAAAATAAAAAAAATTAAAATTATACAAAAATATGTATAATTATTTCAAAGTATTTGAATTTTGAAATTTGAAAGAAGAAAAATTAAATCGAAGAAGACATTTACGATCAGACTGTTTTTTAATGATGAAATTCGTGATTCATGATTGCTTGATTTCAAGGTCGACAAATTTGGACCTCGTATACTATGTTTTTCGGGTGTCCACATATCGATGTTTTCTTCTGTATTTTTCTTCTGTTTTATGCACAACTTAATTAATTTGTTTGTTTCTTTGTATTGATAAACCAGTCACTCTCATTTGGAAAGTGTAGTATGTACCCACTTAATGATTGAAGTTCTTATAACCCATACGTAATTATGAATTACTCAAGCTCAAGGCTGAAGTTTTTATTGTATGCCACCGTTTTTCACATAAGATAGAGTAACAGCAGTCTTTCGACCTCTTAGACTAATTTGTTTTCTGTTATACATGCTAACCAATGTCTAAAACATTAATGAAGCTGACGAATCCGATTTTGGATTTGAACTTCTCTCCCTTTCACATAAGTTACGGGAAAGATTAGTTTTACTAGATGAGGAGCGATATACTTATAATTTATAAGTTTTATAATTTCTTACAACCAAATTTTAATCGTTGATTTCTGTCAATCTAATCATTACAATTTGGGATACATTTATCAATTAATTATAAATTCCTAACAAATTATAAATGTTATATTGACGAAAATTGACGGTTAAATTTACTTTTAAGAGGTTGTAAAAATTTTAGGTTGTAAGTATATCGTCCATCTTATTAGATTAGTAAAACATAGAATAGGATACCAAAAAAAATAAAAAAATTAGTAAAACATAGAATAATGTCTACCTCAATATTTGATATATTAGAGCCGTTAAATACAAATAGGATCAAGATTGAGAGCGAAACTTACATCGGTGTAAAATGATCCTTACTCTCTCTCTCTCTCTCTCTCTCTCTCTCTCTCACACACACACACACACACACTCACACACACACACACACATATGAAAAAAAATTTCTACAGCCATTTTAAATAAGATTATTTACAGCTACCCTTTATAATTATGTATTACCGATAGTACCTAGTTATAACATTAAAGTAACTTTTTTTTTTTTGGTAATAAAGTTGCTTTTTTTCTCTCTCCACGTCACTAGACAGGTTCTAAAAAGTGATTGAGAATAGAGAAAAAAAAAAGCAATTTTAATTTCATAACTATGTACTTTCGGTAGTACATAGTTATAAAGGGCAGATAGATAACCTTATATAAAGTGGCTATAGAAACGTTTACCCCTATATATATATATATTTATATTTATATATTTATATATATATGAGCTTATCATTTCTCAAGTTGCTTGAGATAATCTTATCTCCGGCTAGTAAATCATAACCGTACAAAGATAGATCAATGGGGATAAAGGAAGATAGAGAAAAAGGGAATCATAACCATTCAAAGGTAAATTAATTAATATAAAAATAATAAATAAAACGACGTAGTTTTGGAGTAGCCGGAGATAAACTTATCTCAAGTTGCTTGAGAAATGTTTTTCCCTATATATATAGGGAAAAATGTTTCCGCAGTTAATACAGAGAAGTTATCTGCATTTATTTCCAAAACGACGTCGTTTTGGTATTGAAATCTTAAAAAATTATAAATATAAAGACTATTATAACCCTAAAATAAATTAAAATTACAAAAACACCATGATTTCCGTCCCAAAACGACGTCGTATTGGCTTACTGCAGTAACTGCAAAAAAAGCGAACCCATATATATATAAAGGAAACCCATTTGTTGGAAAGTTTTGTCATGTGTCACTCCCTGCTTAATTCTCAGATTTCTGTTCACACCACTGCCCACTTAAAAACTTTCCTTTTTTGGTAAATTTTGAAATTATTAAATATTAAAAAAATTATATTTTCAATCACAAAATGAAAAAAAAAACAGAAAATTAAGTTTTTATTCAATTAAGTTGTGGTGGCAGACACCTCATTCAATGTCCCACTATCCCACTTCTACATTGGAATTGATCAGCTCTTTTAAAATTCAAATCTTTTAAAATTCAAATTATGTTTTGATTTCAAAATTTGGATTTCAATTTTGAATTTGAAATTGTGATGGTGGGAAAAAAAATTGAATTGAATAATACTTTGTGGCAGACAGCTCATTTAATCTTTGACTGCTTTTCTTTTGTTGCTTGCGTCTATAAGAAGGAAAGTTGGAATGGAATACTGTTTTGTCTATTTCTCTTTTCTCTCTCCTATTGCGGCTAGGGTATTTCCTTTCCCTCTTCTTCACTCTCTTACTTACCCTTCATCGTTTTCGTTCTCTTTGTTCGTGCGAATTTGTGTGTTTTTATTTTTATTTTTTTGACACGATGGAGTCGTTGTGGAGTTAAGGTTTTTTGTGGTGTCTGTTAAGAAGAGGAACGAGTGTTTTGGTTGAGGTTTTGTGTCGGTGGTTGTGTTTGGAGATGACGACGATGAACCCTTTTTATTCATTGGGCGATAATGTTGAGGATCCGTCGCATTTAATATTTCGTTCTTCCCTCAGGTATTCCATTCTTGCTGACTGTTTCTTTTAGAGGAGTAACTTCTTTCTTTTCTTCTTTTTTCGTCCTCCCAAGCGAAATGTTTTCAACATATGATTTTATAAAGGATCTTAATCCTACCAAGGAGGACTGGAGGATTAAGGTTAAGGCGCTCATCATCATCGAAGTAGCAGCAGGCACAAATCTCCTGTCATAGCGGTGCAGTATCAGAGTTTCTCTCTACTGGCTCGAGGACATGTGTTGTTGACATGTACTCAAGATGGAAATCTGTCTTTCTTCAAGTTTGAAAATATTTACCATTAATCTAAATTGCTTTCATTAGTCTTCATTGAAGTCTGCTTATTTTTCTTAGGATCACTAATGTTGGTATATTATAGTGTGGCTTTGGAGATAAAAGGTTATTTAACTCTTCGATGCTCCCTCAAATTAGCTCCGCGTATACACAAAATTCAAGCTTCTTTCTGCCCTCTTCTTTCCCTAGAGAAAGGAGAATTCATAGGTATATTGATATCATTGTTGATTGCTTCCTTTTTTTTTTTTTTTCTCTCCGGCTGCTCTGTCTCTTGAAGGTCTTCCTAATTTCAATAATGCTGCTTCTACAAATTACACCCCAACGTTGCTCTGTCAAACCGGAAAATAATTTTTTGGTTTATGTGTATACAGTCAAAACTCAAGAATTATATACTTCCTTCCTTAATGAATAAAAGATTTTCAACATATATTGCTTGCAAATTAAGTTTTCTGAAATATCTTTGACTACAGCGATATCACAGTTGCTGTCTTTCTAACATCCTCTGTTGTCATGTGAAGTTGCTAGAAGTGAGGATTCAAATGTCTATTTCTATGATTTAACACGGCCAAAGCATACATGTGTAAATAAGCTACAGGTTAGTATTATTTCCATTGAAGGTATTAATGTCACAATGAAGCTCAAGGTGATTAGAATTTTTATAATGTAGGGTCATCGGTTTCCAGTAATGGATATTGCTTGGAACCATGGAGAGAACTTTTTGGCTTCATCCGATTTTTATGGCATAGTAATTGTTTGGAAGAGAGAAAGAACAGATCAAAATAAGAATATATAGCAATAGAATTTTAGAGCATATAGTTGAGGGCTTGTGAAGATGGCATTCTTTACATTATTTTCCTTCTTCTTTTGATTTTTTCATCTTTCTTTTGTATCCTTTGTACTATTATTTTTTTATTTTTTCTACAGGGGACTTTCTATCAATGAAGTTAATCAATTAATCATCCATAACCTCAGAGCAGACGGACAAATCATCTTTAGAAAGTATATTCATGTATCTTGCCCGGAGGAAAAAGTATTCTTTGTGAGACATGATTTGAGATTTTGTATACCAAATTTGAGGGGTATATTTTATTGATACTGCACCATGTAATTTTATACAATTAAAGAATAAAGGAAATGTTTCTAATTTAGTAGTTATTGGTTGAATGTATGAAGTATGGAAAGTACTTTTTTTTTCTTTTCTAATGCTCTATTCCTTTGCTTTTGCTTATTATTATTTAAACTCTTACTTTCAAGCGTAAGGATTTTGACTATAATGTTCAGATGGTTTTGTTGGATGAACGGGTAGTGCTGAGTTTTTTTTGATGTTTTAAATTTTTTCGTCTCTGTTGTGATTTTAAATTTTTGTGTCTGATGTTATGATTTTCGTTTTTGTTGTTTGAATTTTGGCTTTCACTTTTTTTGTAGGGTGGAAGGATCCATGCTACTGTCAAAGGATCTTTGCAGGTCCGAAAAAAAATCTGTGATGGAGAGGTGTATTTTATAAAACTTGTATCAGCAAGTGACTTAATCACAGCATTCGTTAAGTCTCTGGTCGACCCAAATGTATGATGTTGATTTATTCGTATGAGATGTCCACGTCTTTTATTCATTGAAATGACTGTTGTTGGTTGTTATTTATTGCAGGATGAAACAACTTTCGATAATGCTCAAGAAAATGAAATTGTATCATCAGAACCAGAAAAGGCTGAGGCAATCCATCATTTGAATTTAAATGAGATGTTATCAATAATATGTTTGATTACTTCGTTGTCCAAACAACGAAAATATTAAAGCTTGAAAAAGAGTTATGTAGTTTCTAATTTATTTTTCTATTTTGATTCATAAGAAAAAAAAAAGGGTTCGTTGTTGTCATCTTTGTTGGGGTATTTTTATTTTTTTTTCCTACAAATGATGTCAAAACCATTACATTTGTTGACGCAGGTTCAAATTACTGATTTTTTTATTTGGTTACATCTTTTTAAATAGGTTTGATGCATAAGCGTATACAAACTCGCAGGGAAGGGAGCAATTCTGACCGAAGCAGCATATTTTGTGTTTTAGAAACATGTTTTTCCAGAAATTTGTTGTATTTTATAATTCCATGTTGCAGTGTCTTTTTGTTTATGTGACATTTTGTTTAGCTTCTTATCACACTGCATTTTTTAATAACAAATAAACAGAGAAATACTAATTTTCAAGGGCTATAGTAGTACTAAGGATTGTAAATAAAGTGTAAAAAATACATTAATGAATTTCACATTAATTGAAGTGTATATTATGAAAAAAAATTCTATGATGTTATATCTGTCCATTTTTTCATGGGTAATTGTTAGCCCTATTAATGTTGCATAAAAAAACAAAAACATTAAAAAATATTGTAAAATAACAAAATTATTTATATTGCAAAATAAATTTAAAATTTGGAAATAAATTAAATGGAAAATTATGTGAACAATTTTTGGTGGCAGACACCTCATTCAATGTCCCACTGCATTCTACATTGGAATTTCCAAATTAATAATAACTCAACTCTTCTAAATTTTGAATTTATGTCTAAATTTGAATTTTGAATTTGAATTTTTAACTTTGTAATTGTGGGAAAACTTTTGGAAAATTTTTATTATTAGACAACTCATTTAATGTCCCACAACTTTTTTGTTGTTGTATATTATGAGTAAAAAATACTTCTACTTCTTTTCCAAAAAAAATACTTCTACTTTTCTTTCGTTGTATATCCCACTATTTTTTCATGGGTAATTGTGATCCCTATTAATGTTGGAAAAAAAACAAAAACCTTAAAAAAAATATTGCAAATAAAAAATTATTTTTATTGTAAAATAAATTCGAAATTTGGAAATAAATTAAATGAAAAATTATGTGAACAATTTTTGGTGGCAGATAGGGGTGTTAACGGGCCGGGCCGAGCCGAGCCGAGCCGAGCTTTAATCTTAACGGGCCAAGCCTGAATTTAAACGTGTCCGACTGGCCTTAGCCTGTTACCTGTTACGAATATAATATTAGCTTGTGGCCAGGTTTATTTACAAAAAAATAATGCCTCTGTGAAGCCTGTCTTAGCCTGTTAGCATGTTAAAGAATAAAAATAAGAGAACAGAATTTCACAAAAAATCAATTTCCAGATAGAAACCTTAGCTTCCAATTTGCAGAAATAATTTACAAAGTCTACAATAAATAAAAAAAATTAAAGTGAAAGAAGGTAGATAACAGGTTATATTATCTTAGCCCATTATAAAAAAAGTGCCAACAAAAATAAAAAAAATAAATAAATTTTTTTTTTGACACAAACGAGCAGTGCATAGTGGAACGAATGAGTTTTTGTGGGTTTGTTTGTGTGAAGGAGGATGAAGGATAATATAGAACAAAACTAGTAATTCCATAAATATACATAAATTCAATATATATCCAAAAAGCATAATATAGAACAAAATCATTCAAAAAGTCTGTTAAACCAATAAAATGGGGTGAAATAAATTGATGAGAGAGAGTTATTACAAATAGTATAAAAAGTATAAATAAATATTTATATACTAGGCTAGCTTGGGAGGTTCTAAGGCCGAGCTTATGAATTAGAGCCTGAGGCCTTTTTATTAAACAAACTTTTATACAAGTCCAAGTCTGGTTCCAACACGAGCTTTTATTAAACGAGCTCAGGCCTTTACGAGCCGAGCCAAAGGCCCCTGGCTCGTTTACCACCCCTAGTGGCAGACAACTCATTCAATGTCCCGCTGCATTTTACATTAGAATTTCAAAATTAATAATAACTCAACTCTTCTAAATTTTGAATTTATGTTTAAATTTGAATTTTGAATTTGAATTTTCAACTTTGTAATTGTGGGAAAACTTTTGGAAAAATTTTATTATTAGACCACTCATTTAATGTCCCATTACTTTTTTGTTGCTGTATATTATGAGTAAATAATACTTCTACTTTTCTTTTGATGTATATCCTACTATTTTTAATGGGTAATTGTTATCCCTATTAAGGTTGCATAAAAATAAAACATTAAAAAAAATATTGTAAAATAAAAAAATTATTTATATTGTAAAATAAAAAACTATTTATATTGTAAAATAAATTAAATGAAAAATTATGTGAAAAATTTTTGGTGGCAGACAACTCCTTCATTGTCCTACTACATTCTACATTGGAATTTTCAAATTAATAATAAATCAACTCTTCTCAATTTTGAATTTATGTTTAAATTTGAATTTTGAATTTGAATTTTTAACTTTGTAATGGTAGGAAAACTTTTGGAAAATTTTTATTATTAGACAACTCATTTAATGTCCCACAACTTTTTTGTTGTTGTATATTATGAGTAAAAAATACTTCTACTTCTCTTTTGTTGTATATCCCACTATTTTTTCATGAGTAATTGTTAGTCCTATTAATGTTGCCAAAAAAAAAACATTAAAAAAATATTGTAAAATAAAAAAATTATTTATATTGAAAAATAAATTCGAAATTTGGAAATAAATTAAATGAAAAATTACGTGAACAATTTTTGGTGGCAGACAACCCATTCAATGTTCCACTGCATTTTACATTAGAATTTCCAAATTATTAATAACTCAACTCTTCTAAATTTCAAATTTATGTTTAAATTTGAATTTTTAACTTTGTAATTGTGGGAAAACTTTTGGAAAATTTTTATTATTAGACAACTCATTTAATGTCCCACAACTTTTTTGTTGTTTTATATTATGAGTAAAAAATACTTCTACTTTTCTTTTGATGTATATCCCATTATTTTTCATGGGTAATTGTTAGCCATATTAATGTTGCATAAAAAAAACAAAAACATTAAAAAAATATTGTAAAATAAAAAAATTATTTATATCGTAAAATAAATTCGAAATTTGGATTAATAATAACTCCATCAACTCCTTCAATGTCCCACTGCATTCTACATTGAAATTTTCAAATTAATAATAACTCAACTCAACTCTTCTAAATTTTGAATTTATGTTTAAATTTGAATTTTAAATTTAAATTTTTAACTTTGTAATGGTGGGAAAACTTTTGGAAATTTTTTTGTGGCTGACAACTCATTTAATGTTCCACTACTTTTCTTTTGTTGTATATCGCACTATTTTTTACATGGATAATTGTTAGCTCTATTAATGCTGCATAAAAAAAACAATAACATTAAAAAATATTGTAAAATAACAAAATTATTTATATTGTAAAATAAATTCGAAATTTGGAAATAAATTAAATGAAAAATTATGTGAACTTGATATGTGGGAAAAGAGTTCAACATTTAATATTTATGCAGTGGGAAAAAATATATATTATAAATTTGAAATTAATATTAAATTATAGATTAAACAATAAAATATTTAAAATTATAAAAATATATTTATAGTCGATAACAATTACTTAAAATTTCAAATGTAAATGAAAAATATAAGAAATGGCATAATTTATACTTTACATAAAATAAATTAAAATTTTAACATAAATTTTAAATATACATGTCTTTTTTAAAAAATTATTTAACATAAAAATGTTAAATATACATGTATAACCAATTGAAACAATATATAAAAATCATAAATTAAAATAGAAAAAAATTATCTAAATATATGTATAATTAATATAAAAAAAGTTAAAATTTAAATTTAAATAAAAATGACGTCTGTCATTCTGTAAAAAAAAATTATTCAAATTTAAGAACTATAAAAATGAAAATTTTAATCTAGTACATAAGAAAGAAATTAAACTTTCATTTTTTTATTGCAAGATTGTAATTAACACAAATACTTGCAAAAAATAATTATTTATATAAAAGGCTGACAGTTAGAGGTGGAAATGCTTATGAATCACAACAAAACTCATCCAATCTAAATTTAAGTCACTTTTAAAAGCGAAATGCTCAAACTAAATAACAAATGTTTCATCAGATCCAACAAACAATCCATACTATGTAAATTAAAATAACTACATGAATCCAACAAACACATCATAATGCTTGAAGTAAGTATAACCTCTACCAAAAACCTTTTAATATATTCATATACACAATCTAATATCCTGAGATGTTGATTCTTCCTAATAAGAAATAAAGCAAAATTTTATTAAAATATAATCGAATATAATTAAGTTATAAATAATTGCAATTGATTAAATTTATATCTTTTGTTTTTTCTTCAAGGCATACTTATTATATTTTATTTTATTTAAAATAAATAATACAATATAGGCCGGCCTATAGGCTTATAGGCCAGGCCTTGTGAAAGTGGGCCTACAGTCTTTTTATTAAAAAAGCTTTTTCAAAGCCCAAGTTCGGCCTATTTTACGAAATATATTAGGTCAGGTCTGGCCTGACGTAGGTCGAGCCATAAGCCCCTGTAGGCCGGCCCGGCCCAGTTTCACCCCTAGACACAAGAATATTTAAAATTTAAATTAAAAAAATACTCACTTTCTCTCCCATGATTTTCATTCCTTTTTTCTATTTCTCTATTAAAATGACATAACTTATGTCATTTAAAATGACAAACATCAAACCCTATATATATATATATATATATATATTGTAATACTGCTAGACACATTGATGCTCCAACACGTTTTGTAGAAAAAATGTGTGTCGGACAATGACACACTCCAACACATTCCGAAATGCGGTCAACATTTTTCGACACATCAACGCTCCGACATATCTTTCTTTTATTAATGTTGCAACCAT